TATGGATTTTAATTGTTGCTCTGTTCATATTTAAACGACTAGTCTTAGAGAAGCTGCTCTTGGAAGACTGGCATAAAAAATGTATTTTAATAACAGGATGTGATACCGNTTAGTTACGACTGATTTTTTAATCTGATATTTCATATATTTCAGTTAGGACCCCTGATAAGTAAAAAAAAATTAAGCTTTTTTTAACCGTTTTTTCTTTGTTTCTTAAAGTGGTATTTTTTGTACCTCACTTTTTGTCTAGAAAAGTAACTTAAAATGACCTCGTCTTTTGTAAGCTTGAATCTGCTGATCTGATTAATGGCAGATTGGTGTGTTGATACTCAAACGCGGATATTTGAGTGATTGTTTCTGTTGGTTTAAGGGTTTGGTCAAAAACTGGCACTCAGATGTGTTCAGGAAGGATTGACAACATTTGCTGCTTGTTTAACTAAAGAGGTACAAACCATGTAACTCATAATTTTGTTAATTATGGGTCTATTTTTAAAACAGTTTTGAAGGTTTTCAAAAACAATATTTTTAGAGATTTTATGATTTCAACGTTGACAGTTTTTTTTAGGGAGTCAAAAATTTGTCAGAACAATCGCGCTTTTGTCCAGGGACTTTGTTTGGCTTTCAAATGAACGTGAGCAATGAGAAGAGCGTAGAAGAAGGAAGAAAATTTGTTGAAAATCGACTACGATCTTCTAACTTAGGTAAAAAACTTAGAGACATTCATTCCTTAAACATTTATTCCTTGTTTATTTGTTTACATATTTGTAAACTTTTTATTTATGATTATCATTTTTGATTATCATTATCACCTTATCAATTAACGATCAAAAAAAGTTGAGCAGATGTTTATTTTATTTTGACAAGTGTTCAAAAACAAGTACAAATATTACAATCAAATAGTGCAAAAAACTTTTTCGTTTGAAGCCTTTTAATAAAACTGTTTTTTATTTGCAGATCTATTTGGTTTAGTTAACAACGCTGGAATTAGTGGTATCGCTATGTATGACGACTTTTTAACAATTGAAGATTATATATCTGTTA